ATGGCTGAATATTTTTGCGTTTGTACGCACAACACTTGAGACATGCCATTGCTGCTTACATCTATATTTCAATTTAGATATATAATTTGCTGAAGTTCTGTGCATCACATTCGAGATTTCTTCCCACGCCTCGATGGTGGTTTCATGTATACAATCGACAATCTAAAGGCAAGAGAGGTTTATTGTATTAGAGAAGTGGGAACTATCAGCGACATACCGACGCAACAGGGAGCAAACCATGTATGTCAGTTTATGTGCAGTGTTACGTATTCACCATGACTGCTGTTATTATACGTGTACAGGTGTGCGGGCCTTACCTCGCGAAGTGTATCAAATCACTTGAGCACTTTAATTAAGAACATGAAAGATTTGCAAAATATCTGTCGACGACCAGTTGGCGGTCAACATGCTTTGCAAATCCTTCAGTCATGGATTTATAAAATCTGACCTGCAGTTTCTTGAGAATCAATGAATGAATCAGAGTTGTTCAGTAGGATTGATTCTATACCCCATATCACAATTATATTGGATTAATGTTTTGAATAATTTGCAAGAAAGAGCTGTAGGTATATCTTGGTTAAGAACGGAGACTGAAGCTTGTGGTAGGGCCTTTTTCCTGAGAGGTTTAGCACTATTTTTAAGTTAACCTAAAAGCGAAAATGTTCCTAAGTAATTATATCTATCCGTGTTTGACCGCCTCCGTGGTCTTGTGGTAGAGCGTCCGCCCGGAGAGCGGAAGTTCCGGCGTTCGATCCCAGGCCGCGTCATACGAAAAGAAGCTAAAAGACACACACACACACACACACACACCCACACGTGCATGCACGTCGCTGTATAAGTGCAATAATCTTGGACTCGACGTTAAACCCCATTTCACCTCACATCTATCCGTATTTTTGTATCACCACCATTTGTTTTGTCACCATTTATCTTTAGGTTATTTGTTGCTCAAAATACAATCAGACCATCAAGTAACACTTGTAGTTGTTGATTTTAATCGGCAAATAGTACTGAGTCAACGGGAAACAACAAATGACAAATGTTTAAACCATTAATGGGCGGTCTGTAGCCTAGCGTTTAAAGAGTTCGCTCCTCAAGCTGAAGACCCGGGTTCGATACCCAAAATGGGTACAATGTATGAGGCCCATTTCTGGTGTGCCCCGCCATGATATTGATGGAATATTGCTAAAAGCGGCGAAAAATGTACTCACTCACTCATTTAAACCATTAAGTGTTATATAAAAACTTTTCAGATATGAGATAAAATGCATCCTTGTCTTACCCCGATATTGGAGTTAAAAGGATTTTGAAATGCCCTTGTCAGTTTTCACTTCATAAGAGATAAAGTGATGATTTTATTTTTAACATATTTCTTAAATTTTATTTGATAATATCTTTGTTAGGAGTAGCGATTTGTCTACTGAATGCACCATTTAAAACAGCATTGTGTTGTTTATCCTCAGCCGATCAACCGACGGGTGTAAAATATGTATGCGTACAAATGCTGCATTTATCAACAAACTTGATAAACCCGTGGAGATGCGGGTAGAATAGGTCTTCAGCAATCCATGCTTACAGTAAAAGACGACTATGCTTGTCGTCGGGTGGTCATGCTCGCCGACTTGGTTGATTTAATCATCGTATCCTAATTGCGTGGATCGATGCTCATGACATCACTGACTGGATTGTCTGGTCCAGACTTGCTTATTTACAGACCGCCATCATATAGCTGGAATATTGCTGAGTGCGGCGTTAAACAACAAACAAAGAAAACAAACTTGATGACGTAAGAGAACGGGTGTATTCAACATAATTATAAAGGTAAAAGGTTTGATTATATATGGTAACGATACACGCTAGTGTTATGTTGAACTTACACAAATACAAGCGACAAAACATTTTCCAAAACATTAAATATCTCCACTAAAAGCAGATCAATTTTACGATTCCGACTATAGTGTGTTAATGAATCACCATCAAATAGTGATGATACCAGGTGTTCGTGAAAAGGTGAGCGTTTACTGCCCCGTCGGTGGCACGAGCCAAAAACACACGCAAAGGCAAGTCAATTGTTAACCCGAAAACAAAACCCACGGAGACATGTGGTACAAGTCAAAATAGGGAATTGCATCTTACGTCATTTTGTCAGATGCATCAGCTTTGGAAATGTCCTCATCATGTCTACCATTAAACTTTTGAATCTGTGCTGAGGCATTCAGTGCTGTAACCCTGAAACATCTTTTGAGCAAGCACAATGCTTCTTGGATGGGGATAGAGGGGAAGTTGTTATCCATTAAGTTGTTTGTTTTCTTATTTGCCCCGACCGCCTCCGTGGTCTAATGGTAGAGCGTCCACGGAAGGTCCGGGGTTCGATCCTCGACCGCGTCATACCAAAAGACGTTAAAAGATGGTACTTGTTGTTACCCTGTCTGGCGCTCGGCATTAAGGGGCTAAAACAAGGACTGGTCGGCTCGGAGTCAGTATGCTGTGTCTGAGTGGGATATTCATGTTAAACTGCGGCATGATATATAGTTAGCACTATAAATCGGCATCAGTCTGGACTAGTACAAGCAGCCACACACACACACACATGCACGTGCATGAACGTCGCTATACCCTATTTCACCTCACCTCTTATTTGCCCACCAACTTCTGGAACGCCAATCAAACAGTATACATGTACAATTATATTCTCTGAATGATCCTCAATGAAGAATCTTTAATGTCAATCCATGATTGTGAAAGTGCTGCAACTGATGATCGTTTACACTCTGTCAATTCTCAAAAGTGTCATGGATCAAATCAAGGGACAATACTTCTGTTGATGCTTCTTTTTTTTATTCGGTTATATACCTAGAGGAAAACCATATTCTGGAGTCATTCGTCTCTCTGTAAAACAAGAAAAGAAAATCATAATAATTTCCTGGAAAATGTTGAAGAATATTCATTCCGATGAAGTAAACACCATCACTCCACCATGGACATTGAACTTTATAGTAACGAACTGTGTACAAGTATTTATGTTTCTTAAATATAGTAGAACACTTCGAGAAAAACATGAAGTTATCCAGAATCACTGAATCAGGTCAGTTTCATTGGCGCCGCCATGTTGGATTACAACGCCACCTTGTGCCTTTGAATTTTGTACACTCGACCGTTACAACACGTTTGAAAGGACCACTGTCCTTATTTCGGGCATAACATAATCTTATATATCATCTATATGTAGTCATAAGGAACACACTCTCGCGACAACATTATCACGCATATATAGATTTATAGATAAAACTTGTAATCTAGTTTCCTACTTCCAGCAGAGACCATAAAATAGATTTATGCTCTCTGCTTCCAGCAGACATGAAGAAATTGCTGGAACGCGAAGTGCTTCACGGAACTAAATACGAGCAAATCATGCCAACCTCAAATATAGCTTTCTATAATTGAGCTCGCCTGATATTCTTGAGTTTATGGATGTTAACGAATGCACAGTTGTATGAGAGAATTTGGACCTCGAAACACGTTCTAATATTGACGTTTTGAAAGTTTGCTTTGTTTGGTATATTTATTTACGTAAACGAAACTGTTGTAAGTTCATTATTTATATTTGAAATCCAGTCCTGGGTATGAAATTATACTTTTCCAGACATATCTATAAATGGGAAAAGAAACAATTCGGAAATTCGAAACTGATGGCAGCAACAGCTCTGTCTCATTGACGCCATTTTCAGAAAGCCTTTAAAAGGAACCTAAATCACTAAATCCAAAGAATCGAAATGAAAATAAATTAGCACAAACTTATAACTAAAATTATCAGACCTGTCACGACTTGAGGAGGGTTTCTGACGGGCTTGTAAATGATGAATATTATCCTGATTGATATTATTTTCTAACGTTGCCACAACAAGAAGGAAACGTGACAACGTTGCACCATGGACATTTAATACGATATATTTAGGGCCCCTGTTTCCACCAATGTTGTTTTGTTTGCTGGGTTGGCATTAAAGTCATAATAAACACTCAAGCATTACTGTGCAAGACCGCCTCCATGGTCTAGTTGAAGAGCGTCCGCCCGTTTCATACCTAAAACGACGTATAAAGATGGCACTTGTTACCCTGTCTGGCGCTCGGCATAACGGGCTTAACAAGAACTGGTCGGTATACTGTGTCGTAGTGGCGCCATGGTCTCTCTCTCTCTCTCTCTCTCTCTCCGTCTCTCTCTCTCTCTCTCTCTCTCTCTCTCTCTCTCTCTCTCTCACACACACACACACACACACGTCGCTATATAAATGCAATAATCTTGGTCGCGACGGTAACCCAATTTCACCGTATTACTGTTCAAGGTATTTTCATGTATTATACAGAAGTATTACATACCAACGTCATCTCAAGTATTCAGCAGTACTCCTCCTGTCATAGTGGAGTACAAAATGGTGTGCCGGCCAAACTCCCTTTGTTTCAGGGAATGGACGGATGTAACTTGATAAATCCGATCTCACTATCTGGTTTCCAGATTTTACGACCGTTTCTAGTCAATGGATAGTCAATAATAAGTTGACTGGGCCGCGCGATTATCTTATTAGGTTTCTCTTTCAGTGTATGTTCGCCAGTCATCGGGTCTAAGAATTCCGTTTCAAAAAAAGAATATCTTGATTTTTTTAAGAATCATTTATATATATATATATATATATATATATATATATATATATATATATATATATATATATATATATATATATATATGATGAGCATGTTGTTTTGTGAGTCCTTTTGCATGATAGTTGTCAATCAGTCACAAGTTAAAGAACATCCGTTTTTTTCATATGACTGAAGTTGATTTGTCATGGTTGATGGGTGTTGCAACTCACAGCCGTCCAATTGTCGGTGTCCTTTACCTTGTTTGGAGTTTTATGCATATTGATGTAGGCAATACTTTTACAGAGAATTTTAGTTCTTTTCAAATGCACCATTCTTCTATACAATTCACTCTGCTTTGTTCGCAGACCGAGTACCTTTCTTCCAAGATTTGATTTCAAAAACGGAGTTCGGCGTTCAGCAGATTGGCTAGGTCCAACGTCGCTGTATAGGAAAACAGCACCTGGGTTGAAGTCAGTGAAGAACAACACCTTTGCGAGTGCCATAGCACAGATGGACCCAAAGACCTGTTCATATGCTCCTAATTCAAACATTCAACTCGCTTCATCTAAAACGGACTTCAGACTCGGGGACACAATTTCTGTTGAAATCCAACTTTTCGACGCGTACAAGCGGAGAAAAAACAAGGGAGGTGATAACGTGAGAGTATGGATGAGTGAAACGTCAAAAGATGCGCGCGCAGCAGGCGTTGTCACTGACAACAAGGACGGTACCTATACAGGAACTCTCAAGGCTCTCTGGACCGGAAGTCCAAAAATCGAAGCCGCCATAGCTAGTCGGAAAGAAAACGTGGATATCTTCTATCGGGTATATCACGATTACTACACACTAAGAAACTTATCAGCGATGTTCGAGAGCGATGGCGTCCAGGAGGAAACGTTGTGCCTACCTATACCAAACATCCGGAGCTTTGAGAACGTCTGTAACTTGTCAGCCGAAAATTACGGACTCCCGTTGTATTGTGGGAAACCATCACACCGGAAGCTGTTGTGTCACGACTTCACGGGGTTACGTGTGCCGAATAAACAGCCATCTCTATTTACTCCACACGAGGCAAAATTCTTCGAAGGGTACAACTATTTATCAATTTCCTTATTCATATTGTTTAATTCAGCTATTATTATTAACGGTCCATTTCTCAAACAGCAATGTCGACATGCTAGTCATCTTTAAATTATGATAAGTTCAACATACTGATTGTCTGGGGGCACGGGTGGCCCAGTCGTCTAAGGCGCCGTGATTCGCTGTGCAGAGTTGCGTCCCTTTGGCACGCCAGAAACCTATGTTATATTTTGGTAAACGTCTGAGACCTGCACCACTTCGGGCTTTACTCCCACATTAAAACTGTTAAAAGCGGTGTTAAACCCACCTCACTCGCCCACTGATTGTTTTGTTATCATGATTATTGCGTAATACTGGTTATATGTAAAAACCCTGAGTACCTCGTCATGGTGATTATTTTCCACATAATAATTATCTCCTAATGCTGATTATTTCAACATACTGTTTATCTCGATATGATGTTTATGTCAACATAATGGGTATCTCGATATTATTTTCATTTTGAAACCCTAAATCTCGATATGATGTTTTGATAATGGTTACCTCGATATTATATATATTTCAACATACTGTTATCTCGATATGATGTGTACGTCAACATAATGGTTATCTTGATATATTTATTTCAACATACTGGTTATCTCGATATGATGTTTACTTGACATGTGGTTATCTCGATATGATGTTTACGTCAACATACTGGTTATCTCGATTTTATATTTTTTATAACATACTGGTTATCTCGACATATTTATTTCGAGATGATGGTTATCTCGGAAGCGTTCAAATGGCAACGTTCATATCTCTAATTATCCTATCAATTCAATCAGTCTGTACAAAGAATATATACTTTTATATCCCACAAATATACGTATGGTTTTTCTTCATTATCTTCAAATACTGTCAGCTCTACCTCGTAATCAACATCAATATATATTATTTACATTAAATGTTTTTAATACAAATATAACCCACGCATATTATTTTTCAGACACCTGCTACATCAAAAGCTCCCCACATCTGTTGCGATAAAAGTGACGTCAGGTATGTCACAAGTTATGAAGGATGGACAAATTATCACACAATATTACAGCTGTGTCATGTGAAATGTATCCAGTAATAATGAGGACTGGGCAAGTCAAACCAGTGGGACACAATCAAGCACTGAATAAGTCATGCGTAATTTCTTTCCCCAATGGGGACACACGAGAGACACAGTCGTCTGTAGATTCGCCATAATTCTGTTATATTTTGGTGAACGTCTGAGACCTGCATCATCTCGGGCTTTCCTCCAACATCAAGCTGACACGCCGTGATATAACTGGAATACTGTTCAAAGCAGCGTTAAACTCAACTCACTCACTGTTGTAGGAGAGGTTCATATAGTTCACAATTAAGTATCTGTTTTATATTCAATTCAAACAGAAAAAGGCCATGGTTGCAGTTGACTAAAAGAGTCGATCAAGTGAAAAGCCAATAATTTTACCCGACATTTGCATATTTTAGTTATACTCGGTTCTGAGTGGTCAATATAAGCCATAACCTCGCATTGCTTTATTGTTGAGCAAAATACGATATGTCGTCATCCCTTGTTCATGACGACACAAACTGATTGCATTGATTACATCGTCATCTGAACCAAAGGCTTATTTCACTGAAGTCCCGGTAGGGCCCTGAGCTAACCAGCCTGTGCCAGGATCACCCAAACCCTCTTTGCTGCATTTTTTTATTTTAATCTGTAAATAATAATAATAATAATAATAATAATACTTACAGATAGTGTGTCATCATACTGCGCATCCAATGACATTATTTACATGGAGCAGAAAGGAGCCAGAAAGGGATGTTGGGGTTGTAAGGATCAACTACTAGTTCAGAAAATGATCCTTGAAGAGGCTAAAACTTACCACCTTAACCTCACAATGTCTTGGATAGACCACAGAAAAGCTTCTGATTCTGTACCTCACGAATGGATTTTGAGGTCACTGGAGTGTATAAACTTCCCCGAGCGACTACGTGTTTTACTCACGTCTTTAATGAATTGCTGGTCAACTTAACTTGAGATGTATTCGCAGGGGCAGGTGGTGACTTCGGAACCCATTTCTATCAGGAGAGGAATATTTCAGGGCGATTCTTTTAGCCCTTTGCTTTTCTGTATGTCACTAAATCCTTTAAGCTTTTTGCTCAGCAAAGAGGAAGGTTATCACCCGGGACCTCCTCAGCACAGATCCCCATCACCCCTTACTCACCTCCTTTACATGGATGACCTTGAACTTATTGCCAATGGAGGATCTACACTCAAAAAACAGATTCTGCTTGTTGAGTCCTTTTCTAATGATATCGGCAAGTCCTTTGGACTCGACATATGCAACATTCTTCATTTGAAACGTGGCAAGGTAGAAGATGGAGTTTACTAGGAGGAGGAGTTATTGACCATCTTGTGGAAGGTCAGACCTATACGTACTTAGGGATGCAGATTAGGGACAAACTCCAGAATGCCCATATCAAGGGTAAACTTCGGGCAGAGTACAAATGTAGACTAAACAAAATCTGGAGTTCAGAGCTGAACGCTCGCAATAAAGTCATAGCCACAAATACTTATGCTGTGCCCGTCCTTACGTATTCTTTTGGTGTTGTTGATTAGACGAAATAAGAAATTCAATGTATTGACACCCTCTCACGAAGAATCATGTCAGACAATAGATCCCACCACCTTCACTCTTCCCTCAATCGCTTATATTTACCAATCATTATTGGGAGGACGTGGTTTGATTAACGTTGGGGCTCTTCATGAGCTGTTTTGTGCACTTTTGCACACATTTTTGTCTGATGATCCTCTTGTGAAGCATGTCAAGACTCATGATGAAAACAAGGCATTCCACATTTTTCTAAAACGAGCCAAGGATGTGGGACATAATCTCAATGTCGGTGTTGATATTGTTGATGGTTCTGTACTGCTGGACGGTACAGAAATGAGTGTCAACCAAGCGAAGTGCTATATCAAGTCGGCCCAGACTCAGTTTTTCAAGGAGAGGCTTTCTGAACGACCACTGCATCGAGTTTATGTGCAGTGTGTTGAGACGATCAGCAATCCTGCAGAGTCCTTCGCTTGGATGAAGTGGTCTGGCCTGAAAAGTGAAACTGAAGGCTTATTGTTTGCTGCTCAGGACCAGTCACTTTCCACCCGAAACCGTCAATCATACTTTTGGATCAAAATGCGAATATGAAATGTAGATTATGTAATGAATTTAATGAGACTGTCCAACACATTGTCAGTGGATGCCCAGCTTTGGCACAAACACAGTATCTTAAACGACATGATGGTGTAGCTCGATCATTTTATTACCCTCTCCGCCATGCTTGTGATTTTGACACAGCGGTCCACCCATGGTACGACGTTAATATGTAAGGGCGTCATGGAAATGATCAATACAAAATTCTTTGGAATACGCCCATTTACAGCCTCAGATGTATCCAGGCCATCAAACCTGATCTTGTCCGTTTGGATAAATCCAATGAAATCTTTTATATCATTGAATTTTCTGTCCCCATTGACACTTATGTGATTGACAAGATTGAGGAACAACATGGCAAATATGCGGACCGCGCTTTCGAAATGTCACGCATGCTTCCCAAGTACCAAGTTGTCCGACTCTCCATTGTTCTCAGTGCCTTAGGTTTGGTACCTCCCAATATGTTGACTGACATTGGGAGAGTACCCGGGTTTGCTACCAGGAATACAGCCCTTCTGACAATCTGGGTAATGCAGAAGGCAGCAGTCTTGGGGAGTCTTCACATTCTCCGAAAAGATCTGGGTGGGTTTGACTTGGCCCATTCGCTGTCTGGGCTGCGTGTAGAGGGGGCAAGGGCCCTGAGCTGATGATGAGCCTAACCAGCCTGACTGTGCCAGGATCACCCAAACCCTCTTTGCTGCAATTATTATTTAATCTGTAAATAATAATAATAAAATAATCATCATCATCATCATCATCATCATCATCATCATCATCATCTGGCATCAGGATTTGAGAAACGTTCTACGTTCCCAATATGCTGAATTAGGGTCGTCGTGTTTCTGCAGACAAATAAATTCATTTGGCACTATATGATAAACTGGGCATTGTACTCATACCTTCTTTCTAAAGCTGCTTCCCTTGGGTGAAAAAACATCGTAAACATCATCTATTTTACGAATGCCATTATGATGGAGATTATTACCCTCCTGTTGCCGTACAGTAAATCTCATATATTTGGAATAGGAAATATACTGGACTGCAAAAGAAACGTCGATCCATTGCATGAAAAGTTGTCACCTAAATATCTGGGTAATCTTTGTCAAAGTTTCTAAAATTTAACATTAACTTGTACGGAAAAAAATGAAATTTGATGATAAAAAAACAAAGCAGATGGCAACAAAACCGATCGCCCAAGCGCATCATGGCAACGGCCATGGTAACCCGTGCCCATGCGCTCCCCCATTTCTTGCCCTATAAAAATCCACCCAGATCTGATAACATTCATTCGTTAATGAATTGCTACCACATGCTAATATTGACAAGAAATCAGCGACTCCCAGCCCTTGGACGATTGCAAGCTGGGCAAACCGCCCGGAAAGTAGCCAATGCATTTCAAGTCCACGTAAGGACCACATACAGGCTCCAGCAACGGTAGCAGACCACCAACACGACAGATGACCGACCACATAGTGGAAGACCAAGAGTCACCACCCGATCGTCAGATTGTGCGACAGCATCTTCAACATCGCTTTGTTACTGCTGCGGAAACTGCTCTACAGACCATGGGGCACACCAGCGACACATTAATGCGGACACCGTGCGTTGACGATTGACGAGCAGACACCGCCACTATCACAGGCCTCACCGAGGACCCATTCTGACACCACGTCATCGCCGGGACCGTCTCCAGTGGGCAACACAGCACCAGCATTGGCGCCACCAGCAGTGGAGAAGAGTCCTCTTCTCAGACGAGAGCCGTTACTGTATCTCAACAGCAGATGGCAAAGATAGAGTCTGGCTACGCCGTGGGGAACGTTATTCGGATGCTTGTGTTGTTGAGAGAGACTCGTGGGGTGGTCCAAGCATCATGGTGTGGGGTGGAATTGGTCTTGCACAGAGGGTCGGCCCTGCGGTCTTCCAGAACATCGGTCCAGCAGCTCGATACAAGTATTACGCCACATCTCATTTGGCACGTCGCCACAACAACGAGTTTCAGCATCATAACGCCCTTGACCAGACTGCGAGAGCAATAAGTGACTGCCTCCAGCAGAATGACATCAGAACCATGCAGTGGCCTGCTCTCAGTCCCGATTTAATTTAATTTAATCCCATTGAGCACCTGTGGGACAAGATTCAAAGACGGCTGAGTGACGTCCGACCAAGGCCGACAACTGCAGCTGAACTGAGTCAGGCGTTCCTCAGAGTGGGCTCAAGTGCCTATGGCCTTCATCAACCGCCTCATCCATATCGACGTTGCGCGGCACATGGCGGACACACGAGATACTGACTTGTGATGCCATTTTCTCAACTAGTGTTGTGTTTCACTTTAAGAACATTTGACACTTTATTTTCAACCTTGAGGATCAGTTTTGCCAAATGTCATCTTTTAAATATGTCTCAAAGAATGTTTACAGTGTTTGGACAAATAAGGTTTCTCATATATCTATCCATGGTGACGGTTCTTTTGCGGTTCAGTATATATATGATGCTCGTCAATGGCTTGCATTATACAATTTATATTCCTAATATATGATACTAACGGCATGGAAACGCACTCTGCTAATAAATGTCATAAGTATTGCCAACAGTGTGAAGAAGCTACATTGTGACGTCATCGGTATTGTGTCGCCAGTAAAATGTACGCTACGCATGAGGACTTTATCACGCCAAGAATGGTGTATTCATTATGTCAGTAAAGTTTGCATGTATATTTATTAACTCGCGTTTCTTGAAAGTGAAAACTATGTAGTTCATACGCCAATTTTTCTCTGTTTGCAGAGCAAGACACAGTTCCTTTGCCAAGTGTCCCCTGTAACAAAACACCCTTGAGGAAAAGCTGGGAGGCATCAACACCTGTTGGCTTCTTCTACAAGAATTCCTGGAAGTCTCTAACTTGTAAAAACACGATTCCAGTTGATTCGAACATATACAAGGAATGTCTGAAAAACCGGAGAATTTGGATCCATGGAGATTCCACTTCAAGAAGTTGGTTCAATACTTTAACTGAACGTTTAGGCTTGACACTTGTTACAGAGGCATGGCACCATTCTAAATGGCACAAACCGGCAGTAACAATGGACACGCTGCGGAACATCACGCTATTGTTTGTGCCACATGAGTACCCATTTTATCATGGGCATACGTTCAGCAAATTGGCTTATAACAGAGCAACGCATGCCTATCTGGATGATCTTCCAAATAATTCTCGGGATATATTTCTCATTCATTTATACCTTCATTTGAACCCCTTCCCTCCAGAGGTTTTTAGAACTCATATAAAAAGAATTGCACAATCTGTCAAATCGTTAGTTGCTCGTGCCCCAGGGGTTAAAGTGGCTATTCGAGGAACTCATGCTTTCAAGGGTAGGGGCGAGATAGGGTTTTTGGACGACTGTTGGATGTTTGTATACGATACGATCCAGCGGGAAGAATTTAAAGGGCTGGAGAACAATGTGCTTTTCTTAAATAATATAGATTTAACAGTGGCCACAGAAAACGACGACCAGCATCCTAACTCGTTAGCAGTGGATTCCCTGATCAATCATTTCCTGGGATCCGTGTGTGAAGGATGAGGGATGAGAAAGATGGGTGTGGTGGAGTGGCGTCTGTGCGTTTTGCGGAGAGTGATACATGTATATGTATATATGCGTTTAGTGTGTGTCTCTATGGTTGTATGTTTTGGTGTGCATCTGTTCCTGAACCAACATTTATCGGTAAGAGATTTAAACGTTCACATGGGGACACGGGTGGCCCAGTCGTCTGAGGCGCCGCGATTCGCTGTGCAGAGTTGCGTCCCTTAGGCACGCCAGAAACCCATAATTGTAGGTTCGAATCCCGGTTCGCCCTGATTATGTTTCTAGGTTTGTCAGCACCATACCCGTGCTTGTGGGTTTCACAGAAGTGGTAAACGTCCGAGACCTACATCACTTCGGGCTTTCCTCCCACATTAAGCTGACACGCCGTGAAATAACTGGAATACTGTTAAAAGCGGCGTTGAACCCAACTCACTCACTCACTCACTCAACGACGTTCACATTTCTAGCAGGTGTTTGAGTATTTCATCATAATACTTATCAATATTACCCAAGATTGCATATATTTAGAGCAAATAGTTGTGCAATATCTACGTCGGCCACTATAGAGTGTGTTCATAGTATCTACTAACAACTCCTTTCATAAGTCAACTCCTGATATATCGAACACTGGATGTAACGAACTCGGGAAACAAAGAACGCGCATATAATGAACTCCGTACATAACGAACACTGGATATATCGAACTTTTCCACTTTTGATATAAGGAATGACGGATATACCAATACTGGATAAAAGAAAATCGGGATAAAGCGAACCCGTATATGATGAACTCCGTACATAACGAACTCTGGATATAACGAGTCTTCCAAATCCACACGTAATGTCCGATGTTTGTTTTTTCACATTAACGCTAATCGTAATTGCCATTCCCAGCTTATGATTTACTTTCCACAATACAAGGTACCACTGTGTGGTGTGGTAACCAATGGTCGAATTAACCGAAAGTAGGTATCCATAGTTGCGTCCCTCAGCTTCACCAGGATCATGTGATGGTCCTTGATTTGTAAGAATCTACAAGGGGGGCACGGGTGGCCCAGTCGCCTAAGGCGCCATGATTCGCTGTGCAGAGTTGCGTCACTTGGGCACGCCAGAAACCGCGATTTTGTTTCTAGGTTTGTCAGCACCATACTCGTGCCCTTAGGTTTCACCAAAGACGTTATAATTTGTCTTGATTGTAATTTGCTTATCTATTTCTATTTATAGTGTGTGCATATGCCACAGCTCTGCTGGATTTCTTTGGAAGACCGTGTTTGCTAAAATAATTTCCCCCGTATATACGGGAACTGATTGGGGTTGTTTTTCGAATTAAATATGGTATGCCTCTAAAATGTGTTTGTGAGTATTGCTGACATACGGACTCGGCATTCAGCTGTTTAGGCAAGAAGCATTCCTCAAAAGTCGTTACCAATAATAAGTCGCCTTAAGTTTAAGCCTTTGGTCTACTATCTCCCGCAACTCCTTATTTATTAGCTCCTTTGACCCCTGATCTACCAGCTCCCGTAAACTCCTGATCTTCCAGCTCCCGTGACTCCTGATCTACCAGCTCCCGTGTCCACTGATCTACGAGCTCCTATAAACTCCTGATCTACCAGCTCCCGCCCGTGACCCCTGATCTACGAGCTCCTATAAACTCCTGATCTACTAGCTCCCGTGACCCCTGATCTACGAGCTCCTATAAACTCCTGATCTTCAAGCTCACGTGACCCCTGATCTACCAGCTCCCGTGACCCCTGATCTACTAATTCCTTTCACCCCTGATTAACTAATTCCAGTGACCCCTCATCTACAAGCTCCCGCTCGTGACTGCTGATCTACTAGCTCCTATAAACTCCTGATCTTCCAGTTCCCGTGACCCATGATCTACCAGCTCCTTCAAACTCCTGAACTACCAGCTCCTATAAACTCCTGAACTACCAGCTCCTATCAACTCCGATCTACCAGCTCCTATAAACTCTTGAACTACCAGATCCTATAAACTCCTGAATTACCAGATCCTATAAACTCCTGAACTACCAGCTCCTATAAACTCCTGATCTACCAGCTCCTATCAACTCTTGATCTGCCAGCTCCTATCAACTCCGATCTACCAGCTCCTGATTAACTAATTCCTGTGACCCCTCATCTACAAGCTCCCGCTCGTGACTCCAGGGTCCACTTGCACAAAGCGATCTTAGCGCTACAATTATTGTAAATCCTTAAGATCGCGATCTTAGGCTTACGCTACAATTGTCATCCACTTGCACAAAGCGATTGTAGGTTAAGATCATTGTAAGCTACAATCGAAACTTACAATTGGTCCAGACCAATCTTAAGTAGCTAAGATCGTTGTAGTCCCTGACAAAATGGCGTGCAAGACAGGGCCAGTTTCACATTAATAATCTGCTTTACGATCAAACACTGCCTATTTATTTTGTTAGATTTTATGATTCGAATCGACACTTCAACAACACGAAGACCGCACCACAGATTTAACGTCAAAAATATCGTTAATTGCGATAGTGAACCACATAACTATCGAGTCGATAGTTAAAAGTACTATTCCCACCCGTGTCAATGCTGAAAGAAGTCTGAAACAACATACCTTATCAAGGGAAGGATAAAACCTAAGTCGTCTGCAAGCGATTTGTAACGTCCGTGACCTTTAAGATAAATCAAGGGCAGCTAATCATAGTTTATATTCTAGATGGGAGTGGTTTCCCTTTGTATAAGTATCGTAGAATCTTCCTTGCCCAGTTAGTGTATTAATGTTGTAGAACCGCCGAGCTCCCCTTGTATATCTTTTGGGTCACATTCGTGTCAGTTATTTTGTCTTTAGTTTATCATTAAATAATCTACAAGTAAACACAAGTTGAAGTGCAAAATCATACGTTTATATCCAAAATCGAGTGGGACAGTCACGAGCGGTTGTAATATCTGAATTTATAAGAAACTAATACAAATATTCATCAAACAAGCAAATACACATGATGAGACATTTGAAATTTGTGTAAAATATCCCATAAATAGCAAAAGTAAAATTCACACTTTTTAAAAAATATAATTAATACCAAATGAATATATATTAAACAACTTCTTTCTTGAAACATTATTCTTATTTCCCGTACATGCATTCTTGAAATCTCCCGTCTTACTGTGTTTTGAAAAGGTTGTCATAACATCCTTTGTAATAGCGGCAAAACTAAAACATGAAGGATATACATGTATTTAGGATTTTACGAAAAGCTCCCCCAAATAGATGACGATCATACATTTACCTGTTATGTTATTTGGACACAGAGATCTATCATTATTTTCTTTTTTTACTTTCATAATAAGAATGTCACTAAATCTATATGCCAACATTCTAATTATAGTTTCCTTCAAATAGTTGAGACCTTTCAACTGTGCAAGGTGCGTGGAGGGAGGTACGTGTTGTATGTCGTAACCGGTTCTACACGTTGTATGCACAGCAAGATTTGCGCGTTTGCAGACAACCATAGACAGGAGTCTAGTTTAAGATATTTGTACCTCCACCATTGAAGATTTCAATCTTAGTTAAGATCGCGATCTTAAATCAAAGCCGTCTTACAATCGCGCTAAGATCGGTTTGTGCAAGTGGAATAGGACAATTGTAGGGTGATTGTAAAGTTGATTGTAGCCGCCTAAGATCGATTGTAACTAAGATTGTTCTGTGCAAGTGGGCCCTGATCTACTAGCTCCTATAAACTCCAGGGTACCGTTTCACAAAGCAGTCGTAAGTCCATACGTGCGTGTAAAACTGGCGTAACTCGGAAATACTGAACTAGGGGCGTTTCACAAAGCTAGTGTAATATTACGTCTGTGTAAAATTGGCGTAAACTCTACGTGTGGTCTTGGGGTGGTGTAAATATTTACGCAAGCGATAAAGATGGCGTTCAATCCAAACACGGAAGAGATTTCCAAAAAAGTATGTAAGCGAGAACGTGTTTTCCGCAACAGGTCGAACCCCCTCGACGATTTGGATGATCATGACATCATCGAGAGGTACCGCCTATCACGACACATGATATTTTCTATCATTGGTAAAGTGAGTGACAGACTTGAACATCAAACCCAGCGTTCCCATGCAATACCACCTTACCTTAATGTTTTAATTGCTCTGAGATACTTTTCCAAGGGTGGGTTTTACAGTGAGATTGCCGATATCCACGGTGTGAGTAAATCCTCCGTCTGCAGAGCAATCCACGCAACAACAGACGCATTATGTGCAACCATGGGTGATTTTGTATTTCCCACAATGCCTTCCACTCAGAAGAGTACCAAAGAATCATTCTTCGACATAGCTGGATTCCCTAAAGTACTCGGTGCAATTGACTGCACACTCGTACCCATAATGGCGCCGAAACGTGACGAAGTAGCCTACGTTTGTCGGAAGGGTTACCACGCACTGAACATACAGGCAGTATGTGATGCCAACATGAGGTGAGATACATACACACATGGTAGATATGTCTTTTAGCATGAATCAATTATTCCTATTCCTCTTGAACAAGGCACGACAAAATGTAAACATTACAACATGAAATAGATGTCCTTGACATTGACGCATGCTGCGCCCCCTAGGTAACGTTTTGGGCGAGATAAGTCATGATGCATACCAGTAAAAATGAATCCATTGTGATAATGTTTTCAAATTTCCATTGTTTCAATGGAGTATAACTGTTCCATAATTAAAATGTGAATTAATAGTGTTTATTTGTAGGCAGATGTAGATCTCTCTATATATACATTAAATAACTAAATACGTATATGAGCTTTAAAAAATTATGCATGTGCATTTTAAATACTGGATTTGTTATATTTTTCTCTCAGATTTACAAACTGTGTCTTCAAGTGGCCTGGCTCTGTCCATGACAGTTATATATGGAATAACTCTGCCCTTGGTCAGTACTTTGAAAAGAAGAATATTGATGGATGGCTACTTGGAGACTCTGGGTAAATAAAACTACAACATATATACCTGAACTTCACTTACATTTGCTAAATACAGTTGAATTTTACAATGTGTGATAAACAAATCTGACAAAACTGCACTCAGTAAAATATTGATAATATTTTGATGACCTGTTTGGATATAGTGTTATCCTTATTACTTATGTTACAGATATGCCTGCAGACCATGGCTGCTGACCCCGGTGCTCAATCCCAGCTCAGAAGGACAGGAGAAATACAATAGATGCCATATCAAGACACGGAACACAATAGAGAGAGCATTTGGCTTGTGCAAGTCAAGATTTAGGTATGGTTTTAAGTGGTAACAGTAAGTTGGTAATGTAACCAAGAAATTATTGTAAGTGAAATAGTTAAATATTGAAGGTACAGTTACAAGAGGTAAACATGTAATAGTATCTATAACATGGTATCATTGTTGAAAACTTGAAAAAAAAATGGAGTTACTTCTTATCTCAAACTGAGCTTTTTTAAGTTTTTGTAGTATTTTAAAAGAATTGTTAAAAAACATTATCAACTTAATTTTGAACAAAGTGATAGTCTGTCTAACAGGGGTCTGTGAAGAAGTCGGGAAAAAAACTTATAATACAGAAAATGTGTTTCATCACATTTCCAGATGCCTTCACAAGACAACTGGTGTATTACAATTCACCCCAGAAAGGAGTTTGTGTGTTGTCCGGGCTTGCTTCTTGTTGCATAACATGTGCATCCATGAAAGAATACCACTTCCCCAGGGCATTGAGCTACTCAGAGGAGAGGGAACTGCCACAGAGTTGCCATGTGCTGCTGACTTCCCAACAACAAGCTCTGGTTGTGATGGACTGTCAGCAAGACATCAATTAATTTTGCATAAGTTCACTTAAATTACAGCCTCATGCTATTGTTTTCATCATTTATAATAAGCACAGGAATATAAATCATAAGATGTAAGTGACTTTCTACTCTGTATTACTAGACAGTCACAACTTAAGATAATTTCATATTATACAAAAATATAAAATACACAGCTTTTGTCATAATCAAAAGAATTTTATTATGGGGGATACATTTTGGCCATTAAGGGGAGAAACATGTACAAATTCCCTGAGCAGCTTTAGCTTCTCCTCCTCAATCTCTACTCTTTCTATTCTCAGCCAAGAGAATCTGGCTCTGTACAGCTATTAATTGCTTTATTGCGTCAGCAACTGGATCTGGTCCTGTAATAAAACATTGTCTAAATCAATATTGCAGTCTTGTGTATTTTAGGGTTTTATGTAAAACTCCTCACAGCTTGATGTTCAGCCACAATTATGCAGCAAATGTAAAATTACAATATTTTATTTAAATAAAACAAATCCTCCATGCATGTTAACAAACACATAACTTGACTTAACCCTGATAACAGGACCGATGAAGAGGAAGATATTTTAATGTCTGTTTTTACATTAATATTGCATTCAATTTCACAGCCAAGGGCACTTAATTTGGAATCCTGGACAAATTCCTACATTCATTATAAAGAAAATCATTAATCAATTTCAATGTGACTAACAGTGCCAAGTGCCTAACACCTTTGAATATACAAGCCCCAACTTGAACCAGAGCATCATTATCAGAAATGTATTGTGCTACATGGATAAGTATTACCTGATCTTTCTATACTGAACACAATGTTACCAGATTCGAGCTTCTGACACTTCGCTGATTGCACTTATAATTTAATAAGAGGTAATTTTAACTTTGTTCTGTTCACATATTGATAAACTGATAAAAATGTGTGACTAAATGTTGCATAAATCTTGACCTGGTTCACCTTGTGCCTTTCTAGCTGTGATGTCTGAAAATAAAATGTTTGAGCACATTTATAATATATTTTGTGCAGTACATTGTTCAAAACTGACAAATGTCTCTGATATAGGAGTACAATGACTGTGTTGATGCCAAGTTATTTATAACTTTATATGTATTATATTATAATATGATGTGATTTATTGGTAGAAGATCAATACCTTCCATCATAATTGAAGTTCCTGTCCCTGCTGGGGTGATACACATTGCTTCTGTTGTGTTGCAAGTGACTGTGTCTGTGAAAGAAAGACAAATAAAGCAGTTCATCATCAGAAGTAACTCAATTTGTGTGGATAACATTTGTATCTCCCACCAAAATAAATAAAGCAATTTGAAGCTGTCACATGTACACAAGTTTTATGACATGTCCATGTCAGTATTTTGCATATCATCAAACAAATGGGTTTGTTTTAAATTTGTTTGATCTATATATATCTTTCAGAAAATCAATGTTACTATGAATATCTGAGTTGAGTATCTGTTTTGATAGGACCAAATAACTAAAACATCAACTAGTCTAATAATGATTTTTTTAATGTTTGCAATAGTTATTATAATGCTTTATCTCAACTTATTTAATACATAAGGTCACAAACATTCGAAAAATTTATATTTGTGTATTATTTTTAATTAATGCCTACCATTAAAGTCACAGGTTAATGAAGATGTAGCCATTGCTGCTGTGCTCATATCAGGATCAGCCTCCAAAGCATAGTCCAGAAACGACCCATCAACTTGAAATATAAATGGTTCAACACATGAATGATGACTTATGTAAATTTGCTTATCTGGGAGCATATCAATGAGTTGACTATGCCATGAAGATAATGAAAAAAACCATTTATATGGTTTGTGAACCACAGTCACTATTCTTAAATCAGTACTGTCAAGAGGAATGGCATGGACATATTTACCTCCCGAATCAAATCCTCCAGCAATTCCTTCAATCTGGCAAGGAGGAATCAAACTCACAATCTATAATTAAAGAAATGAAGAACACAGTTAAATTACTTCATGAAATATGAGACAAGTAAATAACTAAATGGTATCAGTATTTTGCATAAATATTACCCCTATGCCAGTAGAAATAAAGTCAATTTAAGCTTTTTATAAGTCTGTTATATTATTATATATATAACACAAATAACTAAGACAGGTAACATTTGTTTTTCTAGGTATCATATCACAATTTCTGGCCCAATCCATATGTTCATGCATAATCCATAGGTCATGCATTTGGGCAATTAGACAATTACATATGATCTGACATATTCTTCCTGTTGTGTTTCATACCTTCTGTTCAACAGTAGTGAGTTGTGTAGGAGGGCCACCTCCACCAGTTCTCACACTCTCCTTCCTCCTTGTCACCTCCTTCTTCTTGGCTGCAGCCCTGAGGTCCTGCCATTTCTTTTTCAGCTGAGGCACAGTCCTTACCTCCGTGTTATTGGCGTTGATCCTGTAAACAAAAATTATTTCAAAATTATAACATGTTTTGCTCGATGTCACCCATGTTTGACAATTGCCTTGTTGTTGTCTACCATTAAATATGAAGATGTTTAAAAATAAGTGATTCTGGCGTTTTTTGTTCCTAATCACTGAGCGGACATTTAGGAAATTTACGTTTAGTCTATATGCAATTTGTTTTATAATGTGAAAATAGTGATACTTCCGCGACCTCTTATATGTGTGCATACATGTATATGCACTTATGCATATTTCAGATCCGTATCCCGAGCAATAACAATAATTCCCACCTTTTCAAATTTTGCACTATCAAAGAAATATAGGCCTCTCGCAAGTTCAAGTAGATCTACAGTTACCTTTTATCGCTATTTGTTTACTTCCGCATAACAACAAGCGCGATAACTCTAAATGGCATAGGTCTATCACTTCCAAATAAAACACATCCTTCATATGACAGATGTGAGTTCAATGCCGTGAAATGCACTCACTTTGTCAGAATATCCTCCCATATCTTCTTCATCCGATTGTTTGTGATGCAAGAAGAAAAAGATGAAAACAACACATCTGAATTGCTGCCAACTTCTTCTGTAAGAATTTCTACTTCTGTGGCCGAAAAGTTTCTCTTGCTCGTTTTCTTGTCGCTAATTTCATCCATTTTACTGCGCTTCGTCGTCTGCTCAGAGCACCTGCCACGGTAGACAACTCTAGTGCGGATTTTCCTACCTCACAAAGGGAAAGAGCTCCAATCGTATTTTTTACGTGCGTGTAAGTTGGCCGAGGTTACGCCAGTTTTAGTGTAGCTTTGTGAAACAGTCTTAGACTATGGCGTAAACATTGCGCAAATATGGCGTAAAATCTACGAGCGTGTACATTTACGACTGCTTTGTGAAACGGTACCCAGGGCCCACTTGCACAGAACAATCTTAGTTACAATTGATCTTAGGCGGCTAAAATCAACTTTACAATCACCATACAATTGTCCTATTCCACTTGCACAAACCGATCTTAGCGCGATTGTAAGACGGCTTGGAGTTAAGATCGCGATCTTAGCTAAGATTGAAATCTTCAACTGTGGAGGCACGAATATTTTAAACTCGACTCCTGTCTATAGTTGTCTGCAAACGGGCATAGTTTGCTGCGCATACAATAAGTGGAACCGGTAACGACACGCAACACGTACCTCCCTCCATCGCACTTTTCCCAATTATTTGAAGGAAACGATTACTAGAATGAAGGCATATATTCTTGTCGGCATTAATACTGTCGTGATTTAGGAATTGTTTTCTATTTCAACAAGAGAAATACCTACTCATGTTTTTATTCAAAGTATTGAAATGCGAATAAATACATTATTTAGTAACACAATTATTATGAAAATTAAAATAAATAATAATAATATTTCCTAAAACCCAACGTGTAAATGCATGATCGTCATCTATTTGGGGGAGTTTTTCGTAAAATCCTAAATATATCCTTCATGTTTTCGTTTCGTTGCTACAACAAAGGATGTAATGACTACCATTTCAAAACACAGAAAGACGGGAACTTTCAAAAACGCATAGACGGGAAATAAGAATAATGAGTAATGTTTCGAGAAAGCAATTGTTAATATATATTCCCTAGGTATTAATTTAAAAAAAAAATTATTTTAAAATGTGAATTTTATTTTTGCTATTTGTGGGATATTTTGCCAAAAAAATCAAATGTTTCATCATGTATATTTGCTTGTTTGATGAATACTTGTATTTTTTTCTTTTAAACTCTGATTAACCGCTCGTCCCCGTCCCATTTGATTTTAGATTTAAACATGTATGATTTGCTCTTCAGCTTGTATTTATTTGTAGATTAATTTCATGATAAACTAAAGACAAAATAACTGACACGAATATGACCCAAAAAATATATAGGGGAAGCTCAGCGATTCAACAACATTGATACACTGGGTAAGGTAGATTGTACTCTACGGGCTTATACAAAGGGAAACCACTCCCATCTAGAGTATAAACTAAGATTAGCTGCCCTTGATTTATCGAAAAGGTCACGGACGTTGCAAATCGCTTGCGGGACGACTTAGGTTTTTATCCTTCCCTTGTTTAGCGAAAAGGTATGTTGTTTCACATTTCTTTCAGTATTGAGTCGGATGGGAATATTCCTTTTAGCTATCGACTCGATAGTTACGTATTTAACTATGGTAATTAACGATATTTCTGACGTTAAATCTGTGGTGCGTTCTTCATGTTGTTAAAGTGTCGATTCGAATGATAAAGTTTAGAAAAAAAGAGAGGCAATGTTTGAACGTAAAGCAGATTATTTATGTGAAACAGACTAAGCCTTGCACGCCATTTTGTCAAGTTTATTCAGGGACTACAACGATCTTAGCTACTTAAGATTGGTCCGGACCAATTGTAAGTTTCGATTGTAGCTTACAATGATCTTAGCCTACAATCGCTTTGTGCAAGTGGATGACGATTGTAGCCGAAGCCTAAGATCGCGATCTTAAGGATTTACAATAATTGTAGCGCTAAGGTCGCTTTGTGCAAGTGGACCCTGATCTTCCAGTTCCCGTGACCCATGATCTACCAGCTCCTACAAACTCCTGAATTACTAGCTCCTGTAAACTCCTGAACTACCAGCTCCTATAAACTCCTGATCTACCAGCTCCTATCAACTCTTGATCTGCCAGCTCCTATAAACTCCTGATCTACCAGCTCCTATAAACTCCTGAACTACCAGCTCCTATTAACTCCTGAACTACCAGCTCCTATAAACTCCTGAACTTCCAGCTTCTATCAACTCCTGATCTTCCAGCTCCCGTGACCCCTGATCTACTATTTCCTTTCACCCCTGGCTCACTAATTCCTGTGACCCCTCATCTACAAGCTCCTGTCCGTGACACATGATCTACTAGGTCCTATAAACTCCTGATCTTCCAGTTCCCGTGACCCATGATCTACCAGCTCCTATAAACTCCTGAACTACCAGCTCCTATCAACTCCTGATCTACCAGCTCCTATAAACTCCTGATCTACCAGCTCCTATAAACTCCTGATCTACCAGCTCCCGTCCGTGACCCCTGATCTACCTGGTCCTATAAACTCCTGATCTACCAGATTCTATAAACTCCTGAACTACCAGCTCCTATAAACTCCCGAACTACCAGATCCTATAAACTCCTGAACTACCAGCTCCTATAAACTCCTGATCTACCAGCTCCTATAAACTCATGAACTACCAGATCCTATAAACTCCTGAACTACCAGCTCCTATAAACCCATGATCTCCTAAGTCCCGTGACCCCTGTCAAGGCTGATCACGTGTTTGATTATCATAAATTGAAGATGATAAGAAGATGTCTACATAACACTCTTCTGCACTGCCAGCACTACCACACATTACAGGCTAAATCTTGTAAACTTCCACTATAAAAAAAAGTACTTGAATCTGTGCTTTAATGACAAAGGGTTTCTCAAATATAACGTGTTACATTTAACCACTTTCTTAAATGACATTGTGCGTTCATAGCTTTGGGCCATGGGAGCCGTGCTGATTTACACTTGTCAGAGGGTACACAAAGTAAGTGGCACAGTGGGTTAGATCACTGACTTTGTGTGCTGGCGATTAGGTGCCACACCCTGGGTTCGAATCCCGGACCCGACATGGGTACAATGTTTTAACTGTTGGCCCACGTTCCCCCGTCATATATGGTGATCAAAACAAGTGGGCCTGCATGTGTATAGGACTACAGGAAAACTTCATTAGGTTGACATAGTACTGATAATCAATTTCTAACTGTTGGCAGACGTTTTGCCGTCATACTAATTGCAACGGGAGGGACCACATTTATAAATCGCGAAGTTGTATGACACCCTGTTGTAGGACACCCGGTTGTAGGACACCCAGTTGTAGGACACCCTGTTGTAGGACACCCTGTTGTCAGACACCCAGTTATAGGACACCCAGTTGTAGGACACCCAGTTGTCAGACACCCAGTTGTAGGACACCCTGTTGTCAGACACCCAGTTGTAGGACACCCAGTTGTAGGACACCCTGTTGTAGGACACCCAGTTGTAGGACACCCTGTTGTAGGACACCCAGTTGTAGGACACCCAGTTGTAGGACACCCAGTTGTCAGACACCCAGTTGTAGGACACCCAGTTGTAGGACACCCAGTTGTCAGACACCCTGTTGTAGGACACCCAGTTGTAGGACACCCAGTTGTTGGACACCCTGTTGTCAGACACCTAGTTGTAGGACACCCTGTTGTCAGACAGTGTAATATGTTTTAACTGTTGGCCCACCTTCCCCCGTCATATATGGTGATCAAAACAAGTGGGCCTGCATGTGTATAGGACTACAGGAAAACTTCATTAGGTTGACATAGTACTGATAATCAATTTCTAACTGTTGGCAGACGTTTTGCCGTCATACTAATTGCAACGGGAGGGACCACATTTATAAATCGCGAAGCTCCATTTACTGATAACCATTTTCTAAAATGTGGGCCCACATTGTTCCCGTCATATGTGTTGATCGAATCAAGTGATGCATGTCATCGTATCCCAATTGTGTGGATCGATGCACATGGTATTTTTCAGTGGATTGTCAGGTCCAGACTCGATTATTTACAGACGTCATATAGCTGGAATATTGCTGAGTGCGGAGGTAACCAACAAATATATAAACCACCTAACCTGTAGTTTACAAAGCATATATGTTAATTCAACAGCCTACTATCAAATGACAAGCTGTTAGATTGCCATCTGCTGCTAGTGTATTTTATGGAGTGCGGCGTTAAACAACAAACCAACACAAATCTTTGGATTGACTAAGTCATTTAGTGGGCGCACATTTGTAATTATTTTGTATGGATGTGTAGCAATAAATATTATTCTCATTTTGTTATATTGATGGGAAATGTCTTTATAAATTAATTAGTGTACCGTTACCTCCGCGATAGGTATACAAAGTCTATGAAGTTTGAATAACGCTATTAGAGCTTATCACTCTCGTTCCAAAACAGAGTTTTGCAATTATAGACTCAAGAAACTTACTCCAAATCATATGTGAGAGGCAATACCACTCAATCCACGTTTTCTAGTTTAACACACCAATCTAATCATAAATGTCGGTGGCGATACAAAGCTGAAAATAATGTCAACACTTGAATCGAACTCGGACATGATACAAGCCTGCGACCTCATACTTTTCCGGGAACTTGGTCCATAAAAGGAATAACTCATGAATATTAATGATCCCACGGCCTAGTTTTTGTAAGCAGTGGTGAGAAAGTTATAATATTTTGATGCTCGAATTATCTGTTAACTTCCGGAATAGCTTGGACAGATGCCAAGCGTTATAAAAACATGTGGAATATTCTGTGATGTTCAAGTGACAAGTCTGATCTAGCACTGTCTAGAAACGTGGAATATTCTGTGATGTTAAAGTGACAAGTCTGATCTAGCACTGTGTTAAAACATGTGGAATATTCTGTGATGTTCAAGTGACACGTCTGATCTAGCACTGTCTAGAAACGTGGAATATTCTGTGATGTTAAAGTGACAAGTCTGATCTAGCACTGTCTAGAAACGTGGAATATTCTGTGATGTTAAAGTGACAAGTCTGATCTAGCACTGTGTTAAAACATGTGGAATATTC